AGTTTACAGGAAGCATTCCATGATTAACTAGGGAGTGGTGCCCGCTTGTTTGATTATCCTTTGGAGGTTCCATTTGTTCATTCTGAATCACTACTGTTTAAACAGTTGGCTTCCACGAAATCTGTTTGAGCATCGATAAAAATCGAGTGTTAGAAGAAAGGAAGAATAAAAGGATAAAAGTACCTGCGACAATCAGAATTCCCAGGGTTGTTAATCAAAATGAGTATGTTACTGAGAGCTAACAGTAATGTTAAATCTTGGTTCATCAGACTCGTATTCGTTAGTTGAGATCGACAATAAGGAGGAGAAGAAGCAGATCGTTTAGTGAGGGGCATCTGAAGCAAAAACGTAGAAGTTGGTGTATAATTATCTTGAAGTGGCGTCTGGACCACTTCTATGAGTCGGAATCCTCGTCATCGTGGGTAAAGGGGAAGTTGAAGGAAGGGCTTGATGTTGCCTTTCACGGCCCGGTGATGGAGCTGGGAATGGCTGCCAGCAGATGCTCAGACGCTACCATGGAGGAACTGGATTTGTGCATGCCAATGGAAACGCGAAGATAGAACCACTCCTCTGAAGGATCACTGACCTTCTCGTAGAGAGCATCAAGAGTTTAAGATGTGCACGCATCACTGGAAGGTACTGCGAGGAGTGGCGATGCTAATGAGTCGAATGTTGTAAACTCCTTTTGCTACTGCTAGTGCTACTATTGCTACCCTGCCCCTCTCCCTTCTTGTCCCCTTTTCTCTTCCCCTAATTCTTCTTTTGACTTTACAGAAGTTGTAAGCAGCGACTCCAAGCAGAAGTAGTTGGAATGGCTCTTCGCTAAATCTACACCCTTCCAGGTGAAAGTAAAGAGCCCATCTCTCTACCCATGGAACGGATGCATCTATCTCACTTAGTGCACGCATGCGTATGTGTGCGTGTGCGGGTTTTGGGATAAGAGATGAGTCGTAGGTTAGGGTGAAAATTCCACAGCATCTGGAAAGCAGGGCTACTACTTATGAAGAATGCATTAGCAGGGGCACTCCAACTTGGGACTTGACAATATGCCACTTTTAGCATACCAGATCTAAGTGCCTCTCTGAGATAAGAAGGGGAAAAATCCGCAGCGAAATGAGGCACAATATTGATGGCACGAGTGAAGAAAATTGTGGAATAGTTGAATTATTTGGTGCTTTTATGCATTACCTGTTTCCAGCGGTCGACGCCTCGAAAATGTTGTTGAAGTCAGCAGAAATAGGGAGACCTTTATGTTCGCCTTATTTTAACTGCAGTGTGACTGTAAAACTGATGTGCGTCCTCGTCAGTAGGAGCGGAAAAATAAAGCAGTCGGTGTAGCCCCTAACCAGAAGCTATGGTAATGCGAGATGTGTGAATTGTGTAAACGGGTATGTCTAGGTGAGGGGTTTTGTTTAAGGACATTATTGACCAAGGTGATGACCTCATGATTTTAAGCGCCAATTGAGGAAAGATACGTGAAACAAACGCAGCCTCTAGCCTACAGCCTTCGAATTAGAATGGCACTTTACACCTGTGGGCTGAATGACGAAGGATGCCAGTGCTTGGAGCACTCCGCTTAGGCGATTAACTTCGCTGATGAAGGTAAAAACATATGACAGACTCTTGGTTCTGCCCTTATTTAGCTTAACCTTCAAATAAACCATATCATTTCCACCATTTGTGGTGGTTTAAGGCTGTTTCTACGAATTCTAGCTCGCTGATAAGTTGGAGACTAATGGATGGTCTGGTGTGATTTGTTAACATATGTTGCCCTCAATGAATGTCAGAGATTTGCATCATATCGCTTTCTTGCTTTTGGTGAAGGTTGAGGCATTGCAAATGTTGCGAGTCTGATACCAGTTAATCCCTTATCACTGTGAGTTCCAACCCTTAGGATGACTGATAGGTTTGGAAATCATTTGTGACCCCCTCCTCCTCCCAAATCATTGCACTATTTGGGTAAAAGAATGCAAAAATGTTAGAGTGCGTCTTCAAGTACACAGTTTTGGTGAAAATCAGATAAAGAACCATCTCATTCTTCACAATGATGAAAATTATGATATGGCAACCAATCCTGGCGAGTGGAATCGCATATTGGTACATGGCACCCGTTGGAGCCAGTTCCCACTCGTAAATATGAGAATAGGTGATTTTTTACATCCCTTGCTCCGCATATGTGACGAATAGGCGTGTGACTTTGAATGTGTGTTACAGTGAGTGCGGTACTTTTCGAATCATTGAAAGTGTTGTTAGTGAAACCGTCTTGACACTACAATGCACCTCCCTATCCGTGCTCCGAATGATTTCGAAGTGAAATGAAATTCCATTCTCCTGTTGCATGTACTGACTAAACGCAGAACCACCCGACCCTCTTTGTGAAAACTCTTCATCAAATGGATGCTGTAGCATTCAGTTGTTCTGCGTGGACGAGTCCATATGGATATCCAGTGAATATAGATATCAGGTGGTTAAGCTTTTTATGCCTTTGTTGGTTTAACCCTGTAGTAATCGCTACAAGGTGAGGGATGTATTTGCCACAACAGTACATAAGACAGAGCTCTCTGGGCTGCTCGCTGTTCATGATTTGATTTTAAATATTAAAGCTTCTAAATGATTTGTTTTAAACACTATGCGTATACGTACACAAAGGCACATAAGATGTTCAAATGGGAATAGAGTTGAAATTGCCCGATTTTTCCACGCAAACCACGGTCCATTATATGCTGTTTCAGGAGCCTGGAACTTTTATTGGAGGTGGGTCC